AAAGCCAGTATAACCGCTGATAAAATACATGCATACATAGAGACTTGGCTAAGCCTGTGAAAACAAGTTTTTTGGCTAGCTGGAAGGATAGAGGGATAACCGGATGGCTGGCAGCCTCCGTACGGCATTTTGTCACTTTGACAAAATTGTTTGGTAGTTTGGCTGGTAGCTGCCACGGCCACGAAGCTCTCAGCCTTGGTCTCAGCCTCAGCCTCAGCCTCAGATCCAGCCCCAAACCCAATCGCAGTCCCGAGCCCAAGCACCAACTTGTCGTTCAAGTGACATTCAATTATTATTTCAGCCAGGCTAGCTGCACAAACTTTGCCAACGAAACGAAACCAAACGAAACGAAACGGAACGAGTCTCTGCGACAAACTACAATATTGTTAGAATGTATTACAATCATGCTGGACGACAGTCAGGTCTGACAGTCAGAGCACACAGACAGACGGGAAAGCAGATAGTCGGAGAGGAGAGCAGCGTAGCGATCTCCTGACAGTTGGAGGGGCACATAATACGTATTTGCGCATTAAATTCAAAACTTTTCAAATAGTTTTGTGCCAAATAAAATCAAAACGAAATGTACAAGAAAAATAAAAGGCAATTGGTTCGGATATATGTAAGAGTTTGTATATAATAAGATGAAAATGAAAACTTTGAAATTGCATTTTGCAAGCGAAATGCTGCTACACAGTGCCACGACGACTCATTCCCTATTTTTGGGCTTAGACAGGCGTTCTAACTGATTAAACCAGAGCTCTGGCAGGAGTTTCTTCTGAAAGTTTTGCCTAAAAGAGAAAAAGATATTTTTTATACCTGCAGAAATGCTGCTGAATAGCCTTATAGCTCCTTTCTTTTGGACAAGGACTGTCAATGATAAGTGCAAGAAGTGTTTGTTGTTCACTTTTCCCAACTCTTGTTGATGCAAATTAGTTGTTTGTTTTTTAACTGCTGATAGAGGAATCTCTGAAGGGCTTTTTGATTGACTTTCTGGCATTCACAGCTTTGGGAATGTCACAGTATAAATATGACAGAATGTTAGGCTAAGTGGCTGTTGGCAGCCTCTCGGGATTGTCTGATAATCACGTCTCGTACGTACTTAAATAAATCTCTGAAGGGTTCGCTGCTAAAGCTGTAATCCAAATGTTTGGCATTGTGTAAAAAAATAACTTAAATGTTGAAAAGTTTCTGCTCGATTTTCACAACAATTTTACACACCCCGCACGCTGGCAGGAGCGGCGTAGGTGAATCCTGAATGCCAAATGAAAATGTAAATGTAAATGCGAGTTGCAGTTTGCATCTGAAGTTGGAGCTTGAGTTCTTTCAGCCGGATAACTTGTAATTTGGACAGGGCAAAGAGGGCAGGACCAGCAGTAGCAGCAGCAGGAATCCCACAACCAAAAAGCAGGCAGCTTAAAATTAATGACAGCAACGTAAATGTCAGCGAGGAATGAAAAACAAGAGCGCGGAAGGCGAGGCACAACTTTTAGCCAGCCGCAACGTGTGGCCAAAAACAATACTAAAGCCGAGTGAAGGATGACATGGATGTGGTGCCTGAGCTGAGCGGAGCGGAGTTGAGTTGCCTGCGATGCATGGTTTCCGGTTTTTGTTCACGCGCTGGTATTTGCTGCCACGCCCTGCCCTGTAACTGCCACCGTTGCGTGCGCTAGTGTCACATATGCACATTTTATTTATAAACTTGCAGCAAAGTGGAGAATAAAAAGCAGTCAACTTCTCGGAATGCCATGCCACCTCAACAGGCAGGCAGCCCAGCCAGCCCTCTCAGCCCTCGGGCCATGCCACGCCACCCACTTCGGACGTTGCATGCGCCCGCGATAAAGCCCGTAAAATGCTTATCACGGCCCAGCCGGATGTGCACAGTGTCAAGCAGCCGCGGCAAAGCGTTTTTATATCCGCTGCGATGTGTATACGATAGTTTAATGCATAATTGAAAAGCACGCAGAGTGGAACAATAGACCAAACGGGGGGAGTTGTTTGCCAGCCAGCTGCACTGAGCAGCAGCAAGGCCATTTAACCCGTTTCCGAACGGTCCACTCCATTGGGAGCGAGGGTGGAGCGCAGTGAAAATATTCGTTGAAAAATACTGCACCATAAATTGGCTGCCATGGCATAAACATTTCTGAATAGATTAGTCGAACTCATGCTTGACCAGGACGAAGCCACTAAAAGTGGAAAAGGGAAAAGCAAAGCAGAAGCGAGGAAAGACAGTTTATGGGCAATACAAAGGAATGCACACTCCTCCCTTAAAGTATCTTAAAGACTTCTACAACTCCCAAGTGAGTGATGGATTTATGAGAGATTTATTTATATTTTGAGCAGAAACCACTTAAGACTTTTTGGCACAAAGTTACTTGAAAAAGCCACCGAATATTTTGCTTGTGCTGTTCTATTCTAAGAATATATTCAAATAAATAGAACGGGACACTTGAGAACCTCTTAGTGTTAGGTGGCATTGGGTTTCTTTTGCACTTCAAGTACAAGGAGGCTTACAGGAGAAGGCGCAGCAGCAGAGTGAGAGTAAATCACAAATTAAAAGCAATCAACATATTTGTTCTATTTCGCACTTGTTTGCACTTGATAATGGGAATTATTTAACATTTATCGGCTCAATTGAGCACGAAACAAATGCTGTTAATGAACTGTATGATTGATTTGGTTTCTCCTGAAAGAAGTCCCTTTAAAGTGCGCTATCAGAGGGTGGAGGCAGCATGACGGAAGTTGGAAGGAAGGAAGCGAAGCCTGTAAGCTTGGATGAAAGAAAGCGAGGCAATTGTGGCCTAATTGAATGGCGCTTAGCCGCAGTCAAATCGCTGCTTTATGTCGCTCTTCAATTGCACTTTTGCGGGTGCAAGTGGCAAGGAGCAAGTGGCTGGCTGCCACACAGCGCTCCTTTGGCACAAACAAAACGCATTCAACAAAATGTAAAAATACTGCCAAAGTATGCAAAGCTGCTCGTAAAAACACTCAAAAACTACGTGCATGGAGCTTAAAGGCAGAGGCTGCCTGCTGCAGTAAGGAGTCGTTCTTCGTCCTGCGTCCTTGAGCTTCTATTTGTCCCACGCTCTCCCGCTCTCCCGCTCTCTGTCTCTCAATGTCTGTAGATGTGTGTGTGCCTGGAGCTTGGTAGTTGCTTAGCTGCTTCCGGCCGCCTCTTGCCAAGCCCCATGACCGGTTTCCTTCCTGAAAATCCATCAACGCTAATTTTGCATATTTCAGTTTCCATTTTTTTGTGATTCTATCCACCCCCTCTCTCCGTCTTACACGATTTACTTCCTTCTCGCTCACTCTTTCCGCCTGCCACTGCTTTTCCTGCTGCTTCTGCTCATCCGCCCATCGCCTGTGCACTTTATTCGCCTTTGTTTGGCTAAGCCGGCTTCTGACTTGTGTTTTTACAGCCTGAGCCCCCAAAGATATTTAAGCTATGAAGTGGCTGGGAGGAGCGACAGCAGAGTCACAGCGAGAGCACAGGGTCATATGCGAGAGAGAGAGAGAGAGAGTCTGTCTTCACTGTGTCTGTGCCCCATGATGATGAATTATGTGGGCCACGTACGTTATTAATAATTCCTGTGCTGTCAACAAATACATTGTCTTGTGGCACACACACACAGCCCATTGCTGGTGTTGCTGCTGCTTCCCACGCTGCTCCCCCACATTGCGTATGCGTGATATGTTGCTGCCCCTCGGAAATATATAGATAAATGGAGATAGCGAAATGCGGTACCCAAATTTATTGGCCTTCTTGTTGTGCAACATCCCAAACCGCAGCCACCGAATTTGAATGGTGAGGGAGCAGACCATCTGTTTGCATCTTTCATACATACATCAGAGATGTATTACATCAGTGGGAATCAACACATCCACTGAATCTAAGCTGTTTGTTTGCACATTGTAAGCTGACGAGTGGAGTACCAAAGTTAATTGCTTGAAAAATGCTACTCAATCAATTACGAGGACACGAGGATCCGCCAAGGGCGGAGGGCGAATGGCAGGAAGAGCTGTAAACTGCGCACTGTGCATACACATGTAATTGATACATGTCCTTGTGCTGAGGTCCGTCAAGGTGTTGTGGGAGGGGTGGGTACAAATGCTTTACACCTGCCAACTGGAGAGTAGATACTTTTCGGGGTATATTGTATTCGCTCGAATGTTGCCCAAGGGACTAAATGGTTCAAGGGTTATGCCAAACATTGTCTGCCTGCTCTCATTGCGATGCATGAAGTTAAAGCTCGAAGGAGCCATATTACAGGGTACAGGCAACTCCCGACTATCTATATTTATTTCCCGTTTTGTTTGATCTGCCCGACCTCGCGTTCAACATTCATCGTTCAAATGGAGTGCCAATGGATCGACCACTCAACGAGTGTGTACTGTTGCCACTTCATTTCGCCAATTAAGCGATATACTCCCAAAGAAATCTGGGTTGGGAAATTGGCAAATGGCAGCACAGACTATTCATCCTGCCGAGCAATCAATTTATTAATGACCTCTGACCTGCTACGGGGAAATTAGCTAATTATTTGGTGGCCGGCAGTTTGATGTTTAAATATTTCATACGCCTCGACTGACACCGACCGGGACTTTGTGTGTGTGCTGGGCATAGAGTGGGTGGAATGTGGAATCACAGATGTCTGTGCGATTTCCCCCGACTCTACTCGAGCATCGACCAAACACTGCAGCATTAATTAAATATTTATGCACAAACATGTTCCCTGTTCAGGGGCCAAACAGAGCGCAACAAATAAAGACGGTCGAGAGAAAGCTGAAGCCGGTCAATTTCTGTGTCTGTTACGGCACGCTGACTCGACTCAAGCAACGTACTCCGGAGTCCTAGAAATACTCCTTGAACTCCTGCCCGTACTCGTACATAATTTGCTTTTATTTACCCCCCATCTCTATGTGTGTGTGTGTGTGTGTGTCGTATTGTTCAAAGTACAAATTTAACATGTAAGCTGAAGACAATGCAATAAAGTTGAAATTAGTTCGGGCCATAATTTCAGGTGAACATCCGGAGGCAATGCAAACTGGCTCATCCGGTTGTCAGTACAATTGGCTGACAATTGTCCTGCTGCTGGCCCTCGTAATGTCCTACAGTCAACAATGCACAGCCGCATTGCCACCTCAGTTGCCAGGGGCAGCTGCAACAGCAGCAGCGGCCAGTGAAAGTGCAACTGCCACGGCCACATCGAGAAAGCGTTGCTCTGCGGTCGCCAGCTGCCGCCAAGCCGCAAGCCACGGCAACACTCAGACCCAGGCTCAATCCCAGGCCAAACGCCACTGTCACAGATGATCGAATGGAGGCAACAAAGGCGAACAGCAGCAGCAACCACAACTATATAGCGTAATGTAAGGAGACACATGAAATGTGTAAAGCGTGCAAGTGAGTATAAGCGAGTCTCCGAGTGAATGGGCAATTGAGTGTTTGCTATTCCGTCATAAGTGTGTCAGTTTTAAACTATGTAGAAAGAACTCAAAGTGGAAGAGTGGCAACCGAAGCACTCAGCATTTGCTACACAATGTGGCACAATGGCGTAGTATTTGCAACTATAAAAACTCTACATTAAAATCTGCATTCCCCAAGAGACAAACAATCAGAAGATAGCTCCAAAATCTTTGACTTTCAGCATATTTTTCAACCGTCATTGAAATCTGTTAATTAAAATATAATTAGCCAAGCGAGGGGGATTAATTCTGAATTCCCTTTCCATTTGCCACCGCCATTGTAAAGCATTGTAAGCGTCTATATAAATATGTGTATGTGTGTAAGCCAATAGATTACCGTTTAATGTGTATGTTTAAACAGCAAAAAAAGAGAAAACAGAAATCAAAACTAACCATAGTGGTGGGTGGGAGTGGAGTGTAAATAACAAACTTAAACGTAATTGCAGCATTGCATAAATGCAGAGAGGCAAACAGAATGTATCACAAAAGTACGATAGGAGTGAGTAATCTCTGGCCAGCGGCGTGGACTCTTTTTAATATATTAATGAATAATCAAATAATGTGCAGAAGCTCCATATTCCATAATTAGATAAAAACGTAGCCTTGTCTGCCTGCCAGCAGACAGCAGCAGCAGCAGCAGCAGCAGCATCGAGCCATAAAACATTCAATTTGATGCCATATCAATATCATGCAAATATTTGCACTGCGCAATTTTCCGCCAACACAAATGTAAATTCAATTTACCCCTCCCTCAAACAAAAACTAAAAGGCAGAAAATGAAAGCAAATCCATTTATTTATTTCTTATTACAACGGCATTTAGTGTCACTATTCAATAATTTCACGAGGTTCTACAGTGAGGTGAAAACATTTGATTTCAGTTCCAAAAATGCAGAGAGAGAATTTTTCAATGTTTTCTTCGATAATATTGGCAGCTTAAAAGTTTATTTAATTTCCGTTTCCAACTTTAATTACATTTTTATGTCTCTATTAGACGGCCGATTCCATGAATAATCATGTTTCATAATTATTTAAAAAATTCAGATAATTACATCGACTGACACAAATGCCGGCAAAGCATATAAGTATGCCATAACGTAACAAAACTCCCCTGGTCCCCCTATCAAATTGCATAAATTGATTGTATTAAGCAATGATACTCCAACTATGTGAAATGTGGATGAAAAAAGAATATACAATTTCGATTGGTGGTGCAAAAAATGTTGCAATAAAAATCCGATTGACACACACACAACATATAATAAGTTTCATAATTGTTATAATTAAAAAACAACAATTTCGCTGCCCTTAACAGGGGATAAATCAAACACAATTTGTTAGCCAAATCAAGCAATAACCAAACTCCAAACTGGCCATCATAAAAACCCATTAAGATCGTTTGGCCAATTAAAATGTACGCCACTGATGTGTGTTTGCTTCCCATCTACTTTTTATACTGAAACATAATTCCAAATTATGCATTTCCATTGTGTTTTCTGCGGCCGTAGAAGGACAGAACAAATTATATTAATTTCATTTAAGCTGTAAAAATAATGTTAGTCGTAAGCCGATTTAATATATGTGTGAGTGTGTTTTATCGGGCAAATTGTATCATAAATGTTAATGGACATTCCCCCCATATATGCCAGTAAAGCAGTTGCACAGGATTCATATTCATATTAATGGGAGAAGTGATCCATAGCGCAGATCTTCCAGTCTGTCTGTCTGTATCAATAACCGAAGCTAGCATTTCCCTCGAAATACATTTGTAAATACCAAACCATTCTTATCGCAGTTTTCCTGTCAACCTGCCGGTTTTCGGGTACTGTTTTATCCATCCGAAACTGCAGCAAACCAATCAAAAAGATACGCATACACAGATGGCCAACAGCTACACATAGAGATTTGAGTTAAGTGTGAATAAATACATATGCCAGCCAGCCAGCCAACTTGTAATTCTGAAATGGTAATGCCATAAGCCCGCAGGCATTTGCCGTAAACATTTCGAGCGCAGTACATAAATCTATGTAATCGTAGGACATCAACTAAGTAATTCCTGTATATTAAAGTTAATTAGAGAGAGCCGATAACTATGCATTTAGCCCCCCAGGCACACCATACTGCATAGTTGAATAGTTTTAATAAAACAATCGAACTGTATAAAACGATGATAAAAACCCACTACTTTTAACTGTTGAATTAACTACGAGTTGTACTAAGCGGCAGACTAGTCGAATGGATGTTTTTGCAAGGGCAGAACGTCAGGCACGTACGTGTTTGACATTATATAAAAACATAGCAAAGCATTACAATTACAAACAAATAGCAATAATAACTAAAGAACACAATTGTTGTTTGTCGCCAGAGAGAGAGAGAAAAAAAACAACAACCAACAGCGAACAGGACAACAGCGAAATGAGATACGATTAAAATTTTTTATTTAAAAAGTAAGTCAATCGTGGCGTTTTTATTCGGAGGATTAGCCGCTCCAGATGGGCTCCGGGGGGGAGTGTGGGTGGCTTCGCTATGAACTGTTGAATTATTTATGCAAACTACAAAGGAATACAACAGCTGGCCTGGCCCTCCCATCCCACCATCCAACACTCAGCGACAGCTCCAAGAAATGAAAAATAAGCTGCAACGTATGCGTGTGTCACATGTAATCGCTGGATTATGGACAGCTTGGGCCAGGAGAGCAGGCGAGCAGGAGCTGTGAAAGGAACTCCTCCGGCTGTGGGGCTGGTGTTGAAAACTGGGTCAGCAAATAAATCGAAAAGGCTTAAAACAAGAGAAGGAAAAACCATAGAACAGCTATGGACAGCCATAGCTTATGCGACCCGAACAGATTGCTCCCGGGCAGAGGGTATGCAAAGGCTATGGGCAGAGGGCATGGAATGAGTAAGTATTTGCACGGATGTGAGTTATACAACAATTTGCATTTGATGTCCTTGCGATGTGTTGTAAAAACAAAGAACATGCATCAGTCTCTAATTGCTCTCAGGGCAAATTAAGTGAAAGGACACACCGGTAACTTGTCACATTGTGAAATTTACTTGCAATTTATGTTTCATTTTAAGTTCCTTTTATTTAAGTTTAGTTATTTTAAGTTCCTTTCATTTAAGTTTACAGTCCACCAATAATTATTGGTTAATCCCCTACCTACCTACACTTCTAATTACTCATGTTCTGTATTCTGTTTGGGCATTTTCAGCTCATCAACCATTCTGGGGAAAACTTTGATAATCCATGAACCGCAACCGCAGTCAAATGCCAATCGAAGTGCACTGTGGTCCCAGCTCATTAATTAGGAGTTGCGTTTGGGTTTCCTGACTACTGCCAGATGGAGGAATGCAACTGTAATTCTATTAAAAATGGGCCACAAAATCCCAGATTATCCGCATGCATGTCTGCCCCGAAATTCGGAATAACAATAATAATGTTGCGACGGCGCTACCACACATTGACCGCATACATCCAGACCAATCTAGCCAGTCCAATCATAATCATAGTACCAATTGAACGAACCATTCGGGAAAGTTGAGGTTGCAAACAATCTGGAACAAGGCGAAGAGAGAGAGGGACTGGGCGAAAGCGAAGGCTGTTCCTGAAGGCCATTCGCCACTGCGTTGGCATAAAAATATTTATACGCTCGCTTGAGTTCAAATTGATGCGCGCTGCTTACGAGTATGCAAATTTTTGGTTGTCTAAGCAACCGCAGTGCCAAGCTGTTGTTGTATGCTCGAAGAGGGAGCGGGAGCGGGAGCTGTAGCTGTAGCTGGACCTGAACCGACCCGGACATGGGCATGTAATTTGGCCTGATAGATTCTACTTAATGGCATGGCATTAGACACATTTGTTGCCTGTCCTGCCCCACATGCCGCAGGAACAGCAACAGCGACAGCAACAGAAAGCGAAACATCAGCAGCCACGGCCTAGGCCTGGGCCTGGAAATCGATTTGAACTCATCGGGGCATTGAAAATCAGTTTTGAATGGGCTTTAATCCCGCACCGTCCCACGGAACTCAAATTTTCGCTTTCGCATTTCCATTTGACAAAACATTTCGCACACACACACAAGCGCGTTCGTCCGCATTCTTTCCCAGCATTTTCCGCTAATTTGACTGTAAATTTAGATGGCATCTACATGTAATCCACACAGAATTCCTCGAATGACAAATGCATGCATCAGCGGGTGGGGCACGAGTTAGTACTGAAGCAACCCATTGGGCATGCCCTCTGCACGCACGCAGGACCATGTGTGTGTGTTTGCATCTGACGAATACGAGCTGCGAAGGAGTAGCATCGTTTCCCGCAAATTCCTCGCTATATTGGATCCTAATGGGAAACTGATTCCCAAGAAAAACGAAAATCCATTAAAGAACTAACGGAAAACATGTTGATTAATTGGAGGCTTGATTTAATTACAAAAATCCATCGGAATATATATATTTTTTATCAGTTGAGAACTGTTGTTAATTATAATGAGAATAAGCTACCACAAACTCTTTACTTTTCAAAGCCATTATTACCCGAGATCACACTATGGAAGTGGTTATTTGTAGAGCATCTAAATGCGTTTAGCCATTATGCTCTCACATATGTATGCAAATACATATATCGTACGTACATATATATAAGTAATGGCATTTTCTGGCTCCTGCATTGTCAACGGGTGTTTGCATTCTGAGGGCGTGGTCATGGCCAGTGTGGCAGGCCAGGCATAAACTGGCCGCTACAGCAACCGCAGAAAATGCCAGTTGAATTATAGACCATTTGAATGAAATTATTTTAATTGCGTAAATCACTTTGCAGCCAAACCAGAAATTCAACAATGCTGCGGTGGGCGGTGCACTGCAGGATGGGCCAACGGCAGAGGCAGCGCCTGTGCCCATGGCGTAGGGTGGTTGAAGTAAAATGTGGCTCACTTATTGGCCCAATCTCATTTAATGCTCGCCACTTTTGCGGCCAACAGAGCAGAAATACTCTCGCAGTGGAAGAGGCTGGAACAGCAGAAGTAAAATGGGTAAGGGGAGCGTGGAAATACTCGAAAATTTAACCAACATATTTCTGTTTGCATATTTGCACTCCATTCCCAGATAATTGTTTTCGCTAGGTCGACAATAGAAATAAATTCTGGCAACAATTGCCACAGCCAGAGCCATCCCTGGGGAGCGATGGTTACGAGAGTGTGTGAGTATGTGAGTGGGCCACTTGTAATTGCAACTATAATTTGTACAAATTATCGCCAATTTTATGAATGCATTTCATTTTGGCAGACCCGCGCGGCTCGCCCACCGATGCTCAATTCGTATGGAAAGTAACACACGGCGTATGCGTGATATCAATATAAACACATTTTGCATTCAGGGCAATCCTTGAAGCGGCGATAAATGCAATGTTTCCATAATTTATGAATCACCCCGGACAGATGGGGCAAATATTTGCCAGCACTTTTCGTGCATTCCCCGAATAGAGCGAAATAAAGCAGAAGTGGTGGGGGGGAGGAACCTAACAGATGTCGCATAAACTTTAAACTCCAACAGGATCTAACCCTGCAGCCAGCTGCTCTCCGACTCGCCAATACAGAGAGTGCTACACATACACAGAAACACACAAACACTTTGACAAACCCACTCGAAATCTCCCAAGCACCACCCACAGCCGTACACGCTTCAATGGTCTTGGCAGCAGTTCCAGTTCCAACTTCATTTCCCCATTCCTGGTTGTGGTCTGTTCGGTGTAAGTGTTTGGATGGCAGGAAAATTTTGTTTGACTCTCAAGTGGTTATTGTTGTCAGACCCGTCATAATGCAGACACTGGCGATGCGATGCGATGCGTCGGTATCGCGATGATGCGAGATATGCGATACGTGTCATGATAAATGATGGCGCTCCGTCCCTAAATAAGGCTTAGTGCCAGCAGCGTAAGTATGACTATGAACTATGAACTTATGGCATATTTGCTCGCCTTCAGCAGCAATCAACGCACTTAGCGTTGAGTGGGATTAATCTGGTCGGGGAAGTGATTTCAATGCGGGTCTGAGAGCTACTTGTCGTCGTGACACGACCGAAGCCCAACCACTTGCAGGATCAGCGATAACAGGTCGTCGTCCGTGCTGTCCCACATATGCAAGCAGAACTTGTGCGAACATGAACTTCGTTCCACTTCCGGCAGCTGGTTGTGAGGCTCACAGTCCCGGCAACATCCTGGTGAAATCAGCCTATAATATGTATATAAAAAGTAGTGTTGCAATGTATACAATATAAATATTGTATTTGTTTGATCCACTACAAAAAGAAGAGAGAATGGAACAAACCATTTGAATTAACATATGTACAAACATGCTCCGTGGCGACACCACATTGAGTTCGTGTATATTTGAAACTAAATGAAATGAAATTTCAAGATATGGCAGCTCTATGTTCCTTCTAAACGTTTCCTACCTTGCGTGTGTGAGCCGGTTGGATAAAATGATTTGATTGTATGCGTTGTATAAGACGCACACAAACTCACACAAGAAGTTTTATCGTATATACGATTTAGAACATATTCTATAAAATTCACCCAGCTCACGCCATCTACAGGAACCATCTACAGACTCAAAAGAATGTTATGGCTATTCATATCCTTATCCTTTTACAATTTCGGCCAAACAACGGCAGATCGCCAAATATTTATTTCTAGCTTTGTGTATATTAATGGATACCCTCTTTTGGTAGCAATCGATTGGCAGGATAACCGGTAACTTAAAGAAATTCCACAACTGGATCAGCCCTTAAATAATCGAAAGAAAGGCTTACGAAAATTTAAAAACAAATCGTCATTCAAATGGCCACCTGGCGGCTTCTTTGTTGCTTTTTATCAGAACCATCGATGTATCATCGCAGCTAGCTTCTGTCAGACACCATTAGTGTTGACGATATGTCTGTTTCCTGTCGATGGGGCTTTGTTTTGCTTGCAACACTTCACTATATTTCACAAATTTATTGGGAAAACAATTAAAATAAGATAAGCGAGTCATTAGAAGAAATCAATCTTCTAAAGAATTGATTATTCTACTATATTCTATTAAATATTCAGCGTTGAGAGTGTAACCTTGCAGGTAATATTGATCAGAATATCAAAATCGAGCAAAATTGATTTTCATCGGTATATTTTGAGCATAGTAATGTATATTTCGGTATACTTCTGAGGGTTACACGGTATATTTGATTGATAAAAATGCGGTCACACTGCAAAAAGAGCACGCCGCAATATTCAATGTAGTACAAAGTTTTAACTTTATTGTAAAAGCAAAAACAAAAGGACAATTTACCATCAAATACCTAAGTAAGCCGATGAACAGTCACGAAGGATGCCGCTGCATGTCAGTTGCAATACGATTACCAGGCAAAACGTGCCTAACAGACAGCACGCTGAGGGTAAGGACAATGTCCTGTATAGTTAGAGTCCATCAAGGACCTTAAGGACTGCAGGAGATGGCGGTTTAAAGCAATTTTAACCACCTTGAATCAAACCAGTTCAGATAAGATACTTTAAAATATTGATGGTATTATCGGATAGCCCCAAAAGTATGCTACATGTTTTATTAGTACAACAACTTGGTTCAATTCATATTTGTACAAAAATGGTAGTATTTATTATGTATACTAATCTTAACGTACGCATTAATCCGACTCGGTCTGATTGTCAGATTGCAAATCGGCCACTTCGACTCCTGATCCTTGTAGTCCTTCTACTTCTGATCGCAGGCCACGTAGGAGTCGCTTATGTTGGACAAGGTATAGTCTTGGTTGCCGGGAACAACGACCCGCCAGCCCTCCTCGATCTTTCGCAGTAAAAAAAGGTGAATTTACTGGACATGGTTTAGTTCAATGGGCCATTTGTGTATAGGAGAGCGGGCGATCCTCATCCTTCAGCTCTGTGAATACGAAAGCTGTTACGAATTTCTGAAAACACAAAACCAGAACAGTTCAAAAAGAAGCTGCTGGAAGAGTCAATATACACCTTACCGTCTCACAGTATCGCTTGACATCGCCAGTACGAATCCTTGCTTATGTCCTGGGTCGCTGTCTGCGAGCTGGCATCGCTTATTTATGGGAAAGCAGACCAGATCGGCGGCGGCCTTTATGCGTATCTTAAGTATATCGGCAGACTGGCTTTGCGACACCAAGGTCTCTTGAAGATCTTGCTCAGAAAACACTGCAGCCAATAGGCATCGATCGGGATATGCATGATGCGATATTTGCTGGCAGCCTCTTCAATGGCCAACTGTGGAGGAAGATACACATAAGATTGACCATCAATTTCATATTTTGATGCGTACCGCTGACACACTCACATTCTCTGCGTGTCGCGAATCACTGCGCGTCTGTTCTTCCTCATCTGGAACATAATCGTCACGTGTCTTGCTGCACTAGAATATAATTCTAAAAACACAAACAACTGATTACATTTGCAAAATAATTATCAAAATGATAGAACAGACCGCATGGGTGACAGAATACTTGCCGTGCTGTCTGTTAGGCATGTTTCGCCTGGTAATCGTATTGCGATTGAAATGCAGCTGCATCCTCCGTGACTGTTCATCGGTTGAGTTAAGTATTTGATGGTAAATTGTCCTTTTTTTTTGCTTTACAATAAAGTTGAAACTTTGTGTATTAAACATTGCGGAATGTTCTTTTTGCAGTGTGACCGCATTTTCATCGATCAAATATTTCGCGTAACCCTCAGAAGTATACCGAAATATACATTCTCTTGTTGAACATGTTCTCAACACTGAACATTTAATTTTATAAGATAGAATAATCAACTTTTAGTTAGTTTGTTAGTTGTAAGGCCTCGCCTTTGTTATTTTAATTGATGGCCCCATAAATTTGTGAAATACGCCGTTGTTTATATTTCTTGCTAATCAGTGCTGCAAACAAAAAGAGCCCTATCGATAGGAAACGACATATCGAGTGTATCGTAATGTCTGACAAAAACTCGCCGCGTTGTGGTACCGATGCAATTCAAATAAAATAACCATAATAAAAAGCCAGCCAATCCGTTTTTTGTTTTGTATGTTTTATGACTCTTTTTCTGGCTCCTTTTTACTGCTCTCCCCTGCCCCAGCATCACAAAGAAACCAAAGACCACCCAATATTAGTGTGATTCCAATGCCAGAGAGTGCAGTGAGTGGCTCTTGGCATACCAGCACGCCTAAAAGAAACTATCAGCAAACAATTAGTCATGCCCATAACAATTTACGGCAGTGGGGCACATACAGACAGCACATAGTTGGACGCGGCAGTCAACACAACGCAGGTGAGGGTCTGCTCGGTCATTTGCAGTGCTTTAAGGAAACAGCGCAGATTACAGACATTGCACAACACCATCAGGACTAAAGGTAGAAGCCTCAGCAAACCAAATTCTGAACATAAACTTAGTTTATAACTATTTTTAAGACACATCTAATATGCTTACCCAAATACGAGGAATCTGAAAAGTTTGATCCGCCTGAATCTGGAAAATACATCAGCTTCTGGGCGCTTAGGTGGCTGGGCAGCTTACCAAAAAAGCTACCACCGGCTGCACAAGCGCCAGCCACTAAGCTATAGCGGTAGTTGGCCAAAGATTCCATTTATTTCAAATATGTGTAAATTATAAACAAATACAAATTAGAAACAGCTGTTGCCAACCAGTATGACTGCGGAGCTATCGTTTAAATATACCGTCTGATCCACAAAAATATACCGAAATATACCCTTTAGTTTTCTTAAGTTCGCATGGCGCCAAGCTTTCCATTCAAATAAAATTCGGAAACCACCCTGTCTGATCTTAGATGGACGTGGACCGGGCCTTGCTCGATCTGGACACTCGTCAATTAAATCGAACAAAGTATCTTTGCTAATTGCACGTTGTATTTCAGTGTTTTTTGTTTCTTTATCTTCTCCTCGAACTCTTCTTACTACTACTATATATGTACATAAATAATACAAATGTTCTTGTATCTCTCAAAAACAACTCAATTCACATGCATGCTGAACAAAGTACTTCGAATAGATACATTTAGCAGTACATTTAGAGTAGACAAAGCAAAATCCTAATGCTGGATGGCTGTACAAACGATTAAATTTCAAACGTTTACACATTTATTTATTGAATTGGAAATTGCTTAAATGTTTTTGTTTTTGCATTTCATTTTCATTTCGGTTTCGTTTCGTTTCATTGCTTTGCTTTACTTGATCGTTTTTAACTACAATTGTTGCTATCGTATATTTAATTATATATATAATTAAATATAATTATATATATATTTCATACTTTTAACATAATACTTAGCTTGTCTTGTTCATTTCTCTCACACGACACACACTCTGAACAATACAATCATCAATAAACAAGAGTCCTTAACAATTCTATATAAATAGTTTTGTGATTTTTTTTTTTTGATTTTGCTTCTCCTTTAACATATTTAATCGTAGACTAAACTAAGGTAAACTGCTCACATTTATTTTGTTGGATAAATCTTTATATATGTACGTGTGTGTGTGTATGTGTATATTTGTTGTGTTTCTGTGTGTGTTAGGAAAATGCAACGACTTTGAGCCGTTTATGGGGTTTGTTTATAGGAGCTCACAGAATTGAACCCTTTGTTGAATCAAGTGGTTTATAAAATTAATATAATTCTCAACGAATTTCTCTCACTACATTTCTAAAAAAAAGACACATTTGATTTTTGCTTGCCTACACAAAATCCCATACCAAAAATGGTCGAATCTATCTATCTGACAAATCGTTGCGATGACATTCCTCACGTTAATGCCTCTTCCTCTTGGTTAATACCCTGTTATTCAGTTGGAGCGTGCTGAGTGCTCATCCTACATGAGCACACAACACTTGCGGCTGGAACTGGTGCTGTCGCTGACCACGTCGCCGGTGATGCCGCTAAATTTGTTCACCGAACTGCTCGTTGCCGGCGATGCGACCTCAAAGTCCAGCAGGCTGCCGGGCCCTCCGCCGCCCATGGGTCCCAGTCCCAGGGGTTGGGTGGAGATCGGTGCGGTTGCTGCGCCAACTGCAGCTGATCCTCCTCCGCCGCCACCTCCTCCGTTGTTGTTGTTGTTGCTGGTGCTGTTGTTATTGTTGTTGTTGGCTCCTAAAACAGAACCATTAGTTGTTGTTGCTGTGGCTGTGGCTGTTGCTACTGCCGCTACAATGGGACTCGATGTAGTGGATGTTGTCGTTGTCGCAGTGTGATTTGAGGTCGATGATAATTCGAAATTGCTAAGGACATTCGCGGTGCGTGAGAGGGAGCGTTGTTTCTTTAAGTTCGACAAGGTCGCAGCACTGAAGCCGCCATCCATTATGGCAACATGTTGCTGCTGCTGTTGCTGTTGTTGATGTTGCTGCAACAGCATTGCATGTTGCTGTAGCTGCTGCTGATGATGTGTGCTGTTCGTGTCTGTGTGTGGTGTTGCGAGTGTGTGTGTGTGGGTGGTTGGGTTGCGTTGATGATGATGATGATGAGGCAGGCAAGCAGGCAGACGACACAGAACGAGCGACAACAACAAAAAAGAATAGAACAGAAACAAGCAAATGTTATTTAACTTTTCTCTTTTTTAAGGTTTTAATACCCTATAACCAAGTGCGGGATTGTTAGTTACAATGTGGATTAAGGTTACATGCAATTTTAGAGGATAGAAGACGAGCAATCGTAGGGAAGGGTTGAAGTTGGAGCATCCTAAGCATTGCATAAATCTAAAGAACTTTTTGCTGGTTCTGAGTTGAAAAAATCGTTTTAAGATCTACAGAAAAATTGTAGATCTACGATTTTTTTCTGTAAATCTGCATTTATCTAATCCCACATATTTATACAATTTTTCATTTTTCAGCATGAAATAAACATTAAAAGCAAATAATTTGAATGTATTTTGAAGCTAATTTCCAATATGATTGATAAAATATATTCATTAAATTCATTCACATGCACGCTGTCTGTACATTTTAGCAACCATAACTCTCTCCCCACTTTCAGGGTATATCCCCAGTCGACTAGCTAAATATTCTGTTAGTTTGGTTTAGCCGCTTAGAGGGCGGGTAGGATACTCGTATTTTCATTTTCATTTTCATTTTAGTAGAGTCGTTAAATACACATTAAACATTGACATTGACACTGGCGGAAGAAGCGCTTAAGCCGAGCATTCGCTTTGGCACACAGGTGGGTGCAGTGGCAGCAGTTGATTGCATGGATGGATGGATGGATGGTTGGATGATTGGAAAGCATGCGTGGCACGTGGCCATTGATAGAGAGATGACACCACTCACCCACTAGAACGGTGACCTGGACATTGATCTTGCCGTTAGCAGCTTCTTTGGATGACTGGAACTGCACGGCCTCGGCACTGGCCGCCGTACCCTTGTCGGTGAGAATGACGGCCGCCGCCGAGGTGGCACGCTGCATTTCTCCCACGGCACCGTCCTGGGCTCCTTTAAGGCGGAGCAGCTCATCGTTTTCGCGGCCATCGGGTGGACGACGCGATTGGAAGGAATGTGTTGCGGTTGTTGTGGATGTGGATGAAGTGATCGAAGTGGCATTGTCCAGCGCATCGGCGGACTTAGAGTGTGGCAGTAGCTGGCCAGGGCCATGGCCATTCTGGCTGGCCGTCGAGGGACGCTTCTCACCGTTGTGATTGCTGCTGCTGCTGCCGCTGCTGCCGTTACCGTAGCCATAGCCATTCGACAGGGGATCCAGCGACGCAGGTGCCCCCTCTGTTGCGGTTGCCTCCTGGGCCTGCAGGCGTAGGCGAGTCTCCTCGACGGCATCCTTTTTGGTTGTCAGCGTTTTGTCCCGCAAACTGGTCCGACGCACCGATTGCGCTCTGTTCAGAAATGCCAAATACATAGATTAATCACTGGAGGATTGACTGTGGGTCAAGGATGTGGGTTCATGCCTGGTATTGTTGCTCTGGGAGCGGCGAACGCGCCTTCGTTGCGCCTCGGCCAGTCGTTTGCTCTCCTGCTCCGTTTTCAGTTGCTCGATGCGTTCCCTAATCTCAGGATCCTCACAGATGTCTACAAGGGAATAGCAGATGGAAGGTTAATATTTGCTTATACACAGATAGAAGTATATGCACATACCTGAGGGCGTCTCATCGTCTTTGTTGCGGACATTCAAATCGGCACCGCACTGGGCCAGCATCTCAAGCACCTCAAGCTGCAAAGAATAGAGTCACAAGTGATTTATTATTATTCCGTTTGGTTTAGACTTTCGCTAAGTTTGCCTTACATGACCCCAACAGGCGGCCGCGTGCACTGGCGTCCACAGATCCTTGTCCATGGCATCCACATTGACGTGCTGCTCCAGCAGGAACTCCACCACGCGCACATACCCATTGGCGGCAGCTATGTGGAGCTGCAAGAGTTGATAAAAACGCTCAAGTTATATAGAGAATTTTCAGCATAACTTTCAGACACTCACTGGGGTGGCACACTGATAGTCCGGCTCCTCGAGATCCCCGCCAGTGCGGGCCAGTTCCATGAGATCTCGCAGCATGATGCGTTCCGTGGAGGAGCGCGTCTCGTCGATCAGCTCCTGGGTGACGCCACGCTGCGCCATCTCGCCCTCGATAAAGTCCAGCGAGTTCTCATCGTCGCACAGATCGTAGGGCATGTTGCCGTCTGTGTTGACGGCGAGCAGGTTAGCACCGTGCCGGATGAGGATGCGCACCAGCTCGAGGTGGCCGCAGGTGGCAGCCGCATGCAGCGGCGTCCATTTATCACTGTCCTGGGCATCCACATCCGCCCCGTACTCCAGCAGCAGTTGCAGCATTTGCACATTGTTGTCGATGCACGCCTGGTGCATGGCCGTCAGTCCATCCTCATTGGCCGCATCCGGCGTAATGCCGTGCTGCAACAAAGCCGCCACCTCGGGCATATCGTTGCGCGAGGCCGCCTCCAGCAGCACTACGCTGTTCTCAAAGGATATGTGCCGTCGCCCGCTCACCGTTCCGGAGCCATTGGCATGCCGAAAATGATGCGTCGTATCACCAGTTCCATTCATCAGGCTGTGCCCATGCCCAGCAACGCTGGCTGCCACTGCCGCGCTCCCTGTATTGCCCTTCGCTCGCTGCAGTTTTGCCCACTCCTTGTCCTTCTGCCGAGATAGTTTCAACTGCTGGGCACGCCGTCTAATTAAGAACAGAGTTATGAATGAGATACATGGTATTGCTTTTGGTATCTATGTACTTACAGTCTGGCCAATTGTAGGCGCTCGTGGGTGGGCAGACTCTCTACCGTTTGCATCTCGGCCACCAGATCGGCATGCTCCATCTTGAGCTGCTTCGCGTAGCTGGCATCCTCCTGGCTCTTGCGTTGTATCAGAATACCCTTAATCATTTTTGACAGCCAGACACTTGTATTCCTCACGGATATATGATATGTTTCGTCTCAGTTCTCTGTTTTCACACGCAAACTTAAAGCATTTGATGACAGCAAATTTCTGCTGCTGTTGCTCTTTCGTGTTTGTCCATGCATTTGTGTATGCAAAGTGTAATTTGCATTGTTGAATTTAATTCGATTTGATTGCAAGCCCGGAAGGAGGGCGGAGAAGGTTTTGTGTCTGCTGCCTATTGTGGTTGTGCCACGCGTCTCCTGCTACTCCTGGACAACACCCGAGGCTGCACTCATGGCAACGAGACCACGTTTATCCTTCGTCCTGCTATCTCTCTGCCCACACGCTATCTCTGTTTACTTATGATTAGGTTGGTCCTTCGTGCTCCCGTGCTCCGTGTTTATGTTTGTCCAAGCTCTCATTCGCTTTCACAGCAAATGCTCGTTGTGTTTCTGTGCAAAAGAAAAACAGACGCAAAACTCAAATAAAATATATGTAAAATTCCATAAAATTGCATAGCAAATGCAGCAGCAGCAGCTGTAAAAGCTCAAGCCTTAAATCTAGTTGGCGGATAAAAACATAAACTAAGATAAATGATCCCATTCCCTGGTTTATGAGTTACGCTGTGACGGGAGCTGGAGGTGTAGGTGCAGCGCGGTCAAGGCAATTGCGTTAATGGATCCCCATACATATCATCGCACAAGCCAGCTACTCGTACGACTCAGTCCCCTCATTCGTCGTCGCCTTATCCTCTTTATATTTATACCCTGTGCGGAAAGTGTGCGAGAGGTATATGGAGCAGAAGAAAGTGCTTTAAGAGTAACGATTATCTGGATGTCGAGCCACGTGTAATTCTACACAGGCTAACTACATCATTTAAAGAGAATATATACAAATCTGTGAGTGGCTGGTTTTGCCTGGAATTGTAAAGAAAACCAAAGAACCAAAGAAACTACTTGCTCTAGCTAGACTAGATTTAAAATACATCTCCATGGAATCATTGAACTTATATTTTTATCAATTAATCATGTTGAACAATATAAACCAAAACGCAACACAAAGAGTATTACAACATTGTTACATGTGCTTCTGGCCCAAAAGTGAATGCGCACTTTCTCAATCATTTTGCTGTCTTTTTGGGTGCGTTGAAGTGTAAGAATAATGCGGATGACGCATTGTGTCCTTAGCTCTCCCTTTCCCCATCTGCTCCTTCCCTTCTTTTGCCAAGGCTAAGACCTGCCATCGATAGCCTGGCCAATGCCTTAAGTTTCAGCCATTGCTCCACTGCCTTAAATTGCATGTCAAGAGGCCATCAGACAGACCATCCGACCGTCAGCAGCCATCAGGCATCAACCATCAACCATCAACCATCATCGAGTTAAGTTTATTTAACTCGAAGCACAAGCCACACGTCCAATCTCATGTGCAGCCAACTTGATCCTGCCAATGCGGAAGAGGAAAGGCTGATGGCGGATGGAAAGGCTTACAAAGAGAATTTCAGAGTGGAGGAAAGTGAAAAAGAAATGCCTTTCCTCCTCTTCTGCGATGCACTAAGTCGCTAATTTACTATGCCCTCTATGTCCCTCCTCGAGGGGCGAAAACATTTAAGAGAAAGGAGGGAGAAATGCGCAAAGACTAGGGGATTACCTTGAATGATTTATTATACGAGTAAAGTTCATGACAAGGAGAGAGAGAGAAAGAGAGAGGAGAGGAGGGGGTGCGATTAAGGTGCAACAAATGCTTATTTTATTTACATTTCATTTATTTCTACATGCACATTGTATTATGTACCTCCGACTACCTCGCATGTTGCATTTGTGACACCAGAAAGGGTTTGAGTAGAGAGTAACTTCTTTATAGAATATTTGATACCCCTGAAAAAAAATGTAGAGTTCAAGAAAACAACTCCACCTCTTGGCTAGAATATTCAGATCTTCTAGAACGAACAGTTTCTAATCATAAGATTATTGTCAGTGTTTGCTGTTTGCCGTGCATACTATTTCGTTTATTTTGCAAAGCTTTTATCACCGTTGCTTTGCTGGCTGTTGGTTGATGTCATTTGTCTGTTCAGTGAGAGAGAGTGTGTGCTTGCTTTATTGAGAGCCTCGCTCAGAGAGGGGAACTGCAAGAGGCGATAAGAACTGCAGCATTGTGTGTGCGAGTGGGAGGGAAGCTTGAAACGAACAAAAGAAGCTTGCATGGCTTTGCATGTTCATGTGTACATGTGTATGCACACACAAAAATCGAGAGCGGCGCTTTACCTCAAATGAAACCAGCAGCAACGCTGGCGAAGAGAGAGGCTGCGACTACGACAGCGACTGTGTCATCAGCAACGAACATAATCATTCATGTCTCCGTTCCCTCTACTGAATGGCCAATGCATTGACTGCAGCAAAATGCTGATCAATGGCAGAAAAGGTTCCTAAACACCAATGAATTCTCTGTTGGCGTGGAAATGAAAAAGATGAAATAAAAACACACAAATAATAACCGGAAAAGAGTAAACCCAGAGCAAAACCGATACATGCAATAATCTGGTGGCCAGAACACTAACAGAAATCCCAAGGAAATCGGAAACCAGGCACGGAAATCAATTCAGCCAATATTACTTCCTCGAATGGTATGGGTGTGGGAGTGCGCGGATGTGATGGAACCACAGCACTTAAAACAAACACAAAATGTTCTTGGCAATGCAAAGAACTCTACTATATTTAGCTATTATTCTCTCACACAGTAAATTTCAACTCGAAATGCATGCCCAATCACGTTTCACTAGTTAGGAACTACAACAAATAAACGTAACATTTACAAAATCTACCTACAATATTTATTTACAGTGATGTTTGCTGATTTATTTTCATTGGAAATTTTGTTGAAGGCTTTTGGCATTCGAAATATGCAACTACATAATTCTTAATAATTACCAAATACTTACTGGTGCAAAAATAAATAATGGGAATAAATATTGGTTTCTTTGTGAAATAATCAATCAATTATTTATCTGCTGCAATATTTAGTCGCTCAATAAACCCGAAATGTTAACTTTGTACTTAATTTGGCTTTTGTGGTGAATATGAATACAAATTTCTTTATGCATCATTTACCCTCAAACAGAGAAAAGGCAAAAAGTTCGACTATTGTTAAATTAAACAATCAATCATATTGTTGCTTCTTGTTTTCCCTATGCAATGAAAAGGCTCATCTCTTTTGTCTCTCCTTGGCTTTCATCTGCTGATAGATAATCTCCACATAAGCTCTCAATTCCCTGGTAAATTTCATTTTCCATTTTCCAATTACTCTTATTTTTCGGCCATGAAATATGGTGCTTGTGTTTCTCCTGCGTATCTTCTTTCGTATTGCAGGCCATAATAGTCATCAAAAGAACAATTTAAATCGAATATCGATTATGGCCTGTGACTAACAGTACACTTTCTGGCATCCGGTTACTGCATAACGGTTTCAGGATGCATCCAATGCATGTCCTGGTTTCCTTGACGATGCTGCTGCCATTGCTGCTACTGCAGCAGTCAAGTGGATTGAAATGGCAGCACAGCCATTAAGGAAATGTTCATTTATGAGTTTTGCCAGAGATGGAAATACAAAAGGAATTTCCTTCCGTCCCCCATCCTGTTTGTGTGACCCAAAAATTGTCGATAATAACAGCTTCAGATGGGAACAACAAGTACGAAAAACCATTCAAAGTTGAGTCCTTGGGACTAAGGAACTGCCCAATCATTATGAATTTTATGGGTATTGAAAGAAAACGAAAGTTTACCGAAGAAAATGAGAGAAAAATGCGAGGGTAGATCTGAAAAACTGATCGAAAATAAAGGAAATCTTTTGTAGAAAGTTTAGTTTAGATATAAAAACTATATACCCTAGCATACCCCTTGTATAATCAATGTGTTTCATAACAGTAACAATACGGGGTGGGCGGGAAGGTCAGACTTCTGTTTCCTTTCCCGCTCTCATGTCCGTACATCAAGGCGTATGCGTGTTATCTCTGCGGTCAGTCAAAGGCCATGCCCCATCCGATTCGTGCGTGCCCTAAGCCCTCCGTTATTAATTTTGCACGCCTGGCGTTTAGTTGGATATTTATGCAACTATTTAATAATACAAAAACGAAACGAAGCAAAGAGAACGAGAAAAAATAACGCAAACAGCAAATAATTTACAGCCCCAAAGACAGGCATTAACCGATAGTAGATAAGATAGCGCCAGCTCAGCAGAATTGCCAGCCAGCCAACCCAGCCAGCCGGTCCGGGCAGCCACAAAACGAAAGTCAAAGCACACTACATTTAGCTGTCAACCAAGTGCGCTTCCCCGAACATCAAGGCAAGTGACGACGACCTCAAGAGAGCTCAAGTGAGAAGGAGACGAAGACTACAGGGTATGAAAAATAGTAAGGAATACTTGAGAGGTGCAGAGGTGAAAAGTACAGAGGCTACAAATGAATGGCCCTCGACGGACGCCATGTGCAACATGAATCCGACGGCCAGCCACAACAGCAGCAGCAGTAACAGCAACGATACCTTCGACGCATCTGTCCTGCCAGCAGGGGTCAGGGGTCGGTCAGGGGATCCTTCAGCGACGGACAACGGCCATCACTTTTAATGAGCGCCAGAGCACCAGGCAACAGCCCTAGAGAGACCAGATCTGGGGAGCATATGGCTTTGCTTTACTTGATTGCTACAGTCGTACCTGGCTATGGGCAAAGATGGGCTGATGAAATTAGAGAAATTAAAGGGGTTGTCCCCTAGGAAAGATGAACGAGTTTGCGACACAATTAAAATATTTTAAGTACTTTTTAAGCTTCGACAAATATTTAAAATAGGTAAATATCTTTTTTTCATAGAAACATCAATATATTTAAATTTCATTTAATAAAGAAATCACAATTAATATTATTATGAGCATTTTATGTGTATTTAATTGCAATTTAATCATTTCCTGTCGTAAATTCGCGCTATTGAGAATTTAAATGTTAATTAATAAACTGGATAATAATATTTAATTATGCAAATTTTATGTTTTGTGCAGGTTTTTATGTACATAATTCAAGTGCAAATTCTGCAAATAAAAAAAATCAAACACAAGTGCATACATTTTTCCCTTAAAATGCCCCTATCAATATTTATTTCCAATTAAAAACTTAATTTCCCTTTTCCGCATTTCGCGTTTCGCTGCTCATTAGACGCCCTACCCTGGCCCTACCTGTCCTGCCCACATAGTTGATGGCCATTCAGGCGTCTCGCAATTCTAGTTCTACTTAATTAGCACCCACTGTAGGGGCAGGAGCAGCAGCAAAGGTGAGGCATGGGAAGTGCAGCCTCATGAAGAGGGTGTCAGAACGTCCTCCACTTGTGGCGCGGGGCTTACGAGTGTCGGTGCCGCCGCTCTCATGTGTGCTCGAGGGCAGCGAATTATGTGCTTGCCACCGGAGTGCAAGTGC